CACACACCCACACCCTAGAAATCAAAGGGTCAGTAGACTAGTAGTCTTTCATTAGACTTTTTTTTAAATGAGCAATTAGCACATAAAGTACAAAAAATGTATACATTTCGAGTACAGTAGCATTAATTGTTTCTTAGTATCGTTCAGGCACATTTTCATATTGCAATTGTATAGAAACGATACTTGTCTGTTTCGCCGACTACTTTTTGCGTCAGACTTTGATCAAATATTAAGTAAAAATAATCTAGTGGCCTTTTTTAAGTACATATGAGTTGATACCAGATTTACTTAGGTCAAATATAAATTTTTTGATTCGAACTATTCCGCTATTCGATTCTTTATTAAAATCGCAAATAGAATCAGTATCTAATTCATCATCTAACGCAGAATTCGAAAAAGTTTCACTAACATCTGAATCAGTTGTACTACTAGATGCCATAATAATCAAGAAAAGTTTCGACATACGAAAACGAGTAATAATGATGTATAAAGTTGGTTAGTGTCAACAAGTGTTGTTATCGTATCTTCTTTAATACGAGCTTATCGAAAGATACCGCCCTAACGCTTACAGAATATCACTAGCGAGCTTCATCAACTTATCTCTATACACAATAGATGGAAATACTAAGTGATCCATTCACTAATCTATTCAAATGTTGAGCCTGTCTATAGATAGACTTTGCCCTCGAAGGTTTAATAAACAACACCATACTTAGCAAGTAGTCAGATGTATTTCTTGAAATCAAAAAAGATCTTTGTTGAATGAATTAAATACAAATTTCATTCGTTAAACTATGAAAACCTATCACTTATTTCAAGTTAACTAAAAATGTTCACTGAAAGAGAATTGGATCTGTTTTTTATGGGTATTTGTAAAATACACTCTAATCCACTTCAATCACTCATAATAATAAACAACTTTGTGATTTATTTTAGCCGTATCTACCTTGACATCACTTTTCCCATTGTTACAGATCAAAGATCAATTGTCAAGGGTCACACCTGATGGTAAAATTTAGTGTTAAATTTATCCGCTCAATATCAGATTTTTGAAGTAACGCTGCGTAGGTTCAACGGTCTACGAAAAAGACAAACCGAGCTTGTTAGAAAAACCTGATATTGGACATATAAATTTAGCGCTAAATTTTACCATCAGGTGTGACCCTTGACTATTGATCTTTGATCTGTAACAATGGGAAAAGTGATGTCAAGATAAGTAGAGCTAAAATAAATCATAAAGTTGTTTATTATTATGAGTTATTCATTTTCTTGCAAAGTATTGGCTTAGAGTGGGTTGGAGTGGACCCATAATAATGATATTTGATTCTTTTATCAAAGATTGTTTAAAGAAAATGGCTAAGAATGGAATCTTCTGAGTGAAGCATTTTAAGCTCTATCAATTGATAATAACTTCGAGTTAAACGACGGTTGAAGTGGATTAGAGCGTATTTTACAAATACTCGCTTTTTTATTGATTGTTAGAGATCTGATATGAAAAGAAAATGGTTGATAATATCATTCAAGTACTTGGAACTATGTTCACCCGTCACTATACATGTACGTGTCATTCGGCACCAGATTGTTATTGAAAATCTTTTCGAACGTTATCAATCCTTACCATTTGTTGACTTTTATCGTATTTTAGATACTTCACGATAGTAGGCATGACACTAAATGTACGCGAATATCTATCAATGGATGCCAATGTAGAGATAGGTGTTCTCAACACCTACCATTGCTTACACTCGAGGCCATTTTAATGTGTTTAAAGGTAAACATAGCGTTCCTTCTCTTAAAATTGGTCTTGAACTGACAATTTGTTAAAAATTCTCTCCTATGAACATGTTGTCATGTCAACTGACGGTTCATAAAGCATTGACTAAATGACTGCAGTGCTACACAGCAAAAAAAACGATATTTTAAGAATTTGTTTATAATGCAGTTGAACCGCTTTTACTCATTCCAATGTATTTTCTATATCAATATTTTTTCAGATTATTGTCAATTATGTTAAAAACAATTCGAAAAACAAGGCTCATGTATTCAATATTTTGTTTTCTATTATTTTTTTGTTTCACAATTGTTACTATTATTAGCTGAAAATATTTAATTCTAAAAAAATGAAAACATAAAATTGCTAATTTCAAATGTTGTAAATGTTGCGAAAAATCAAATTAATATACTATACTACTCAAGCTTTAGTAATAACAAAACAAAATCGATTTCTTCAATATCAATAAAGACTTTACTATTAAAAATTAATAAACATACTTTGAATTTTACAGATTCAAAATTTAATAATCATAATACAACATTAGAAACAACTATTCAATGTATTGGCTCATTAAATAGTCAATCTTGTTTGTACCATAATTTATATTATGTCGATGGTTCATTTATGGTTTTAGCAGTAAAAGGAAAACGTTTACCTTCATATTCTGTACGAACAGATGCCTTTGTACTAACACCTACAACACCTAGAAAACTTGTTTTTGATTGATACTCTCATCTTGAAAAATTTATTCGTATTTCTATTCGTCCAAGGATATTTTCATCAGTCACTCTTTATTTTAGTCAACTTTGGCATTATAATGTTGGTCATCTCCTTTTTGATGGACTTTATCCAGGATATGTTGCACTTATTCGTTTTTCTCCAAAACATCTTCATCCTTTTCGAATACTCGCTGGATTAAATGACTGCAATAATTGTTGGAGTGAAGATGTTTATAGCCGTTTTGGTGGTCTTCGAATTCTTAAACTAAGTCTTCTAAATAAAATGTCAAGAGAAAAATGGTTTATGTTTGAAGAACTTGTTATGAGCAGTGGAACTTTGTGTCAACGTTGTACACAGCCTAATTTACAATTACCTGGTGGTGTTGAATTAGATGCTTCAAGACTTTTTCGTGATAGAATGTATCAACAACATGGTCTTGCTCAACCCATTATTCGACAAAATTCGTCATCTGAAAAACGAACCTCTCGTGATGTTCTTCATGCGTATATTATTCATAATAAACGTTTTACACGTAATGATCGAAAAGAAATCGATGCTGCTATAAATGAAATAAATAATTACACGAATTCATATTTGAAAAGAACAGCTAAATTACGATGGCCACTAGTTAAGGCTTCTTATCTCTTCTATGATCAAGTGAGAGCTCAAAACCGTAGTTCCATCGAAATAAATGCAACATCAAATGATTCTCGATCATCAACGCATGAATTATTTGAAAATAAATTCATAGCTCAATTAAAAATTTTGCGTCAAATGGATATTCATATTACCGGACCAGGTACTGGACAAATGTATCAAACATTTTTATCAGATGGATCTGTAACTATCAATCTTGGAGGTATAAGACCACCAGGATTAGAAAATACCGAAAAAGCATATACTTCATATTTGGAACAATATATGACAAGTGGAACACCTTATATTAAAGGTCTTTATTATCCAATTAATGAAAGAACTAAAGGTATTAAAAAACATGAAGTAATTAAATTAATTCGACAAGCATCGCAACTTATTTTACAAGGTTTTTCATTACCAGTCAATGCTCGAGACAATCTAGCGCCTGATGGAAAATTATTTGTTGAACTGTGTGAAAAAGATAAAAAATTTTGTTCTTTCGTTACGACAAGAGTACCGAATACAGATTTTGATTGTATACATTTATGGGTAGAAGATATTATACATGAACATCGTCAATGGCAATTAGAAGGCTTTGTTATTAATCGACGAAAAGTTATTTGTCCTTTTAATCATTCATTAGTACATCAACTAAGAGGAAAATATGGAATTAAACACAACCAGTCCAACCATTGATCAAAATATGCTACACAAAACTAGGTTGATTGCTTGAAATAGAATAGATTTTTATTATAACAATTTCATTGCAACAGTTGAGATAAAATAAACTATGATTAGTTTCTTATGTATAAAATGGAAATTTGAACATGCTGTAAATAACAACTTTGTGCAAAACGATAGAAAAAAATTCATTTCGCTATAAAGAATGAATTATTTCAAGTAATTTGAAACCCTCCATTGACATATCAGTATGCATTGTCACTATCAATATTTAAATAAATAACTGAGTTTTGAACAGATTGCAACCGTTTCAAATATAAAACATAGTAACACAAAATAAATTTAATTATTCGATGATTTCATTTGTCATTGAAATTATTGATACCATATTTTGTAAATTTTCACGTTTCGATCATAATAAAGATCCATCCGTTAGACTAAATACTGTCATAATTATCATCAAATTTTTTTACCTTTCTAACTTAGTTTTCTTCTACTAGAAACTCCAATACATCATTTGTTGCATAGGTTTGCATATACCGTTTTAATTTTGGAGGCACTCATATTTCTCTCTATATGTTTTCAAAAGGTTTGTTTGATTATATTGGGTAGTATTTTATACTGGTTCAATGGAACACCTTCATATGTAGTGAGGACAATGGGGAAGTAGCAAAAATGCCGCACTTCTTCGTACTTCCTGTACTTTCAGACTATGTCCTAATTGTGCATCAAATTTCTTTAGCTATTTCATGTCTACTATTGACCTGTGTTACGATATATTAACCGGAGTCCAGTCTACGTAAGTCTATCTGACAAAAAAGCTCAAATACTTCATGATACTTCCAATTTGGAAGTATCATGAAGTATTTGGGTTTTAGGATGGGGTTGCCTTTAGTAAGTTGGACTCCGATTAATACACCATAGCACAGGTCAATAATAGACTTGAAATACCTAAAGAGATTTGATGCACAGTTACGACATAGTCTAGAAGTACAAGGAAGTACAGCATTCTCGCTCCTTCTCCCTTGGATGAGGATCAGAAAAAGTTAATAGCAGCAAATAGTATACTATAGTAAATAAACTTTCAAGTTGAATGCAATATTCTACAATAAGAACTTTCGATTTTCCAATACAGTCATCATCAGCTATATAAGACATCACTTCATGTTTATGATCTAACTTATGTTGTAAGTATTTTACATTTGAGAAGTGAAAGAATGCGGGCATTTTTTGAATAACTTTCAATTCATTAATGCTGTAGCAGTTAGGACTTCGGCATCGTAAATAGCAAACTCTGAGGCATTCGTCTGTACAACATTCAATAAGATCAAAGATGTTTTCCGTAAGTTTTTATATATCGATATGTTTCTTTTTCTCGATTTTCATAAATTTCCATAATGAATTAACCCTAAACTGTACCAAATGGTTGTCTGATTTGCGTTGTAAATTTGAACAAAGAATCACATGCTTAAATGATCTCAGCGAAGAAAAAGATAAAAACCATACTATACAGATGTGTAAATTTATCTATGTATGCAGAGCAATCCAGACTACAACGTGAGCGTCTGTAATCCTAATGAATGTTATACAGATAGACGCTTTACAGTTCGCTCTTTGCAACACTCTAACCCCAAGTTCGATAACATTAGCCGATTAAAAGTTATTCAAAAATGCCTCCACTCATTTAACTCTAAAATGGACGATCGAAGGTTGAACACCTATATTGTAGAGAGTTACATTAAACTGGAAAATTTCTTTACCATAGTATTTGTTATTACTATTATTATTGTTATTCAATTTTTCTCTTTAAAATTAATAGAAAAAAAAGTGTTTTTCCTGCAACAAGAGTAAGTTTCGTTTATATCAGCCTGAAGAAATTCAAATGACCTCATGTGCTAATCTACTGGATACTGTGTTTTTATCAAACAAGATATTGTATTATGCGTGTGGGTGTGGGTGCGGGTGTGAGCGAGTGTGTGTGTCAGTGTGGGTGTGGGTTTGGGTGTGGGTCTTCATTCAGAGAACACGCACACGCACATCCCCACCCACATCCACACCCACACCCAACCACACCCACATCCACACCCAC